GAGCCGGCGGGGGCGGTAGCTCCGCCGGTGCGCGAACGATAAAGTGGGCGAGCAGCGGTCCCCGGAACGATAAACCACATTCTCCGCGGCCCCTCTCAACCTTTGCATCACCTCCCGTTAAATGCGCGTTTGACGGGGCTTCACCCAAGCACCACCCTGCGCCCTGCTCGGCCTGCGGGGGGAACAACCGCCGGCTCCCGGCTCCGAGGCTGCCTCATTAATATTCCTTTCCCCACTTGCCCATTGGCACAGTCTAATTGAAATGCAGAGAGAAGAAAAGTCTGTCATTTAAAGTGAGCTCAGGATGCAGGCAGCCAAGAAAACAAACCTTGCTTTTTTGCTCAGATTGCATTACTTTCGGATGCATTGTCTTTTGAAGCACACTGCCCTCCTTTCCTACACCCAGTCCTCCTATGGTAGTAACCGGACCACCGCTAGGATCCAGTCTCATTCACTTTTGGTTTTCCAGCGCAAATAGATCAGAACAAGCTTGATAATTACAGATAAGGGTTTATATTTAGCGTACCCTCATTTCGCACTCTTAACTCAGAAATAACACCAGCAATAACATTGGGGGGTGGGGGTGTTGTTGTTTTTTGTTTGTTGTTTGGGGGATTTTTTAGCCTAACCCCCATCCCTCTTCTTTCCTTTCAGTCTGTTAATTGCAGAAAACACATCTCTCAGTTATCCTTATAACATCACTGGCCTACCGGCTTATCACATTTTGACTGAAGTTGTTTTGCTGAAGTTTGCTTTTGAATCGTTACCCGTTCCAAAACAAACATGTGACGTTGCATGCACAGGCGTAGTGGGGGGGGGGGGGATTAAGAAAGGGAGGATTCTTTTTCCTACCCTTCTTTCTGTTGTTTTTCCCGTTTCTTGCCTCCTAATTGTTGCTGCTTGCAGCTGGAGGTCCCCTTGTTTTCCTTCTCTAGTGGATTAATGACTCCACAGCAGAGCATGAGAGGAAAAAGAAGAAAAGTGCTTGGGCTGACAGGATGACCTGTTACTTTCAACTCTGAGATATCTTATAACTTGCAGTAAGACTGGGAAGAGAGATGGAGCAAGCTGGATTTCTTTGTTTTTAAATAACCAGTAAAATGACAGTCCAAACTGTGGGAAATTACAATGGTAAAGACACAAGTGCAAAACCAGAAATCTGTAGAACACTCATTCAGCAGCCGTCTAACCCTGGACATGCCTAAGGTACAAGGCCCTTGTTTTTCCCTTTCCAGGTGTGAAAAATTCCTTTGCTTACAATTCTTCATTATCTGATTAGTTAAGCATCTACAATCCAAGTCGTCTTTGGATCTGCTTGCAGGTCCCCACGTATTAGGCATTAGCAACTGCAGAATTAACAACTGATACCAAAGGCAGAATCAACCCTTATAGTAAAACTAGTTTTAACTACTTGTCCTAAAATAGGATGACTTCCCAAATATCAATATGCAGAAAAAGAAAAACCACAACACACCCCAAAAAAAAAACCCAAAACAAAAACAACATTGAAAATGAAGAGCCTTTGTGATTTATTCTAATGTGAAATACATTATGTAACAGAAGCAGAATATTTTTTTCCATGGGTATTCATGGCATTCCTTCCCAACAGACACTTCAAGTAACCATAATACCAGACTAGATTCTAATCTTTAAATGAGTTGCATGAAAAAATAGAAAAAAACACATTTATTAAGGAAAGCAGTCACAGTGACTCCTTGTTGCTGTGAGAGCATACTGTCATTCTTCAAAAGCCACATGGGGTAGGCATGTATTTATAATGAGCTTTTGCTCAAAGCCTTCCACCAGAGAAATGTTCTGCGTTTTAGGCTCTAGTCATAATTATTACCTGTGATGTTCTCTGAGCATCATGAGCTATAACCACAGCTTCATGCATTGAAGTTACACTTCAGGTGAACCACATACCTTAGATGTATCAGAAACTTGAAAGTAACTCCTCATTCGCATTCTCAGACAACTTGGGCAGCCCTATGGGGGATCCCAAACCACAGCGACACTGAGTACAGGGACAGATTACTGAGGCAGTGTGTGAGAGATCAGAGGCAATATAATTATCACCCAAGAGAGGTTCTTTGTGATAGTCCAACACCCTTGTAACCCACGCTGCTGATGGAAGGCTTTTGAGGAGAAAAGTGTGGTGGTGTTGTGATTTTATTGTTTTGTTGGGTTGCATGTATGCGTGTCTCACAAACGCTAGATGTGTTAGTTCTTGTTGGATAAAAAGAGTGTACTTGTGCCTCCTCGGGTGAGTAGTCAACAGAGAACTCTCTCTTCCCTTCTGCGTTATTATTTGCAGAGTGGTATTGGATGCTGTCATTCATTACTGAATTTCAATTAACTCTGAGTCATATGCGGTGTCCAACAGTCATCTGGGTTTGTGGGACTCTCCTGAGTCTTGATGCAAGTGCCCTGGAAGGTAAGGAGTTATGCCATTGGTTTGAATAGGACTTGAAACGCTTGACTGGAAGGCATCAGTTCTACAAATTGTTATTATCAAGATTTTAAAAAAGTTATTTTACTTTAAAAGTTTTATTTCTTTTCTGCTATATTTGCTGAACTATATAACTAGAATTCAATTCCTATTTCAATATTTAAAGGTATCTTAAATAAAGGACCTTACAATCCTATTATTGCCCCTTGCCAAGGATCTCAAAGCTCTGCACACACTGATAAACGGTGTTTCACAATACTTTTGTGAGATTGAAAACACTTTGTTTGTGAGGACAAATTGAATATCAGGGCAGGTATGTGACATCTCGTAAGCACTTCCAGTTTAAAGGTAATAGAAACACAGGAGAGGTTAATCCCAGGCAAGTTATTCCATGTATTGCAAAATACTAAATCAAACGGTTCCTTTACCTTATTTTGTGAAAGAATCATTTAGATGACAAAGTTACTCCACCCTTCCGGCACAAAAAATTACTCAGAAACACCTCCGATTTGTAGCCACTATGGAGGTGACAGTAAACATTTTTTGTCATGGACATAACCAAGTAGTGCCAAACAGTACTTAACCCAGTATGATCTGGAGTATGTTCTGTAGTATACTAGTTCCAGACAAAAATTCTGGCTGATTGAGATAATCATCATATACATTGTGCTGCTTGAGAATAATCCTCACCCTTACATCTATGCCAGCAACACTCTCAGCTGTAAGAATAAAACCAATGAATATTGGGGTTCAGTATAGTGATGCATATATGTGAAAACTGAAGTGAAATGTTAGAAATTCTTATATGTGATAGAGCAGTGGATATTTTTACTATAAAGTATGCTTTTTATACACATTCTAATCTCTAAAAAGGCATAAAGCACCTCTCAATATGTTATTCATTATTGGAAAGACTGTTTTATTTATCATTTTTAAATATATCTTTAAATGAAAGAAATAGTTAAACATTCCTGTATATATGCATTTGAGATGTAACCAAGATAAAATGCTTAGGTAATTTTAAACTTTTATTTTATTTTATTTTATTTTATTTTATTTTATTTTATTTTATTCATGTGAATAATGACAAAAGAAAAACCTGAAGAGGGAATTAGTTTTTGACCAAGTTAGTCCCTGGACTGTTTCATCATGCAGCTACATAGATATTAATCTGAGAAAAAAAAAAATGCTGTGTCCCATTGAACTGATGATGAAAATAAGATTTCTGCAAGAAAAGATGACTCAGGTCTCCAAAACCCATCTAGTCACTGACTTTCTGCAAGATTTCACCCCAGATTCCTCAGAGAAGTGAAATTAATTTTAAATGCACCATTCAGCAATAGATGCTAATAAAATAAACAAGGATGCAAGAAAATCTTATGGCCTTACCTGGTACCCACTGTTGTAAGCATCTGAGCAACTTTTGGTCTTCAGGACACTCCATCTAACTGTGGCACTCCAACTGGGAAGAGTGATGGTGTTTGTTTAAAAGCTCTACCTGTTATACAGACTTCCTGACTGAAGAGCAGAAATCAGCTTTAAGTCACTTGCTGACTTGCACTGGTACCTTCAGCAGAACAGGAAATTGAAATGAGCTTTCACAAGTTCCCATCTTATACATTGATGACTGTTTTTTTTCTTTCCCAGGATTATACTTCCCCTAAATTTGAACCTTAAAACCCACATGAGGATTTTTAGTGTCTAAATACACTAAGACCTACAGAAGGAATGAGCAGAAAGTCTTTGCTATCTATCAGAAGCAATGAGACTTGCATCATCCTTTTAGAGTAGATCTTCCTTGACAGGACAAACATAAGGCAAGCAGCAGAAGGCAATGCAACACACACACCAACTGGGATGGGAAAGCTCAGATAAATAGAATTGGCTCATAACTCTTGGTTTGAGTGAGAAGAGGAAAGGGAGATCTGCTTTTATAAAGAGCAATAGTTTTCTTCAGCTGCAAATTCCTGTTTTCCTTTCACATCTATGGGGAGCGCATATATCCCAGCAGGCTGAAAGGAAGTTACAGCAAAACACTTCACTCTGGATAGACAAGACAGAATGCAGAAAATGCAAATATATGTTAAATAATTTCATAAATGTCTTTACATTTGTGTTACTTGTATAAATACAGTCTATTTTATCTTTCGGCTGTTCACTCAAATATTCCCTGGACTATGTTTCTCATAGATTTGTGATGTTTCATGTTCCAGGTGTCCAGCTTGGGGCAAGTAGCACTAAATTAGAGGGATAGAAATATTCGGTGTTTCTAAATACCAGCATGACAACATGGAACTACTTTGAGGTTTATTTTGTTTGAATATATTTTGAAGTTCAAAGACAAATGTTCTTCTATTGCTACAAAGATATTGATATTCAGAGAAAATGTTACAGACATAGGACCAGTTAGGATCAACCTTTTTCCAGCAGTATGAAGAAAGAAGAGACTTCTGCCATCTTGTGCTGTCCATGACATGTGGTGACTGCAATACCAGGAATCA